CAAACCAAAATTGAGGTGATTTTCTTTACTTTAAATCATGTACGTGAAGCATGAGCCATCAACCGTGGAGGACAAGGGGTTTAAAGAAATAGCTGTGTTTTCTCCTCATACACACTGCGGGGTTTATATGTTGGGCTTTCTTTTACCCATCAGCTGGTTTTCTACATGTACAGTATGAGAGAGGGACCACATAGATGTTTTGGTTTTGTCCATTTGCAGATCAAATCAGCCTCCAATGGGTGCCAGCAGGAGGGATATCTGTCAAGTCGAGCTGCCCTGGGGCTGAACAACCTTTCCTGCAAGGCCCCGTGCTCCCGTATCTGATTCCAGCAGACAGGGTGAGATGATGACCATGCCAGCCCGAGCCTTTGATTTTTTAAGTATATCCCTCTGCTTTCACGCTGCTTTATTGATCGACAACAGACCTCATTTTGTTCTTCAGCTAAAAGAGCACTTCGAGAACGCTCTGTTTGTAATGCGATCACTTAGATGAGGTTGGCAGAGAGGTGGACAGACGCTAATCCTCTTTTTTTTTTTTTTTTTTTCCTCCAGTCACCAGCCTCATCTGTGGTGATTTTTCTGAATTGCCCCTGTTGGGTTTCTCATTGCGTGAGGCCCAGATAACACCCCTCTCCCGGGCTATTTTAAAATGGATGGTCCGGACTATTCACGCTTAACTGTAAAAATACCTACTAAGGTTCGTGACCATCAAATTAATTAACAAAATAAATACCGACTACATTTAACATATGTTAAAGGTTAAATGAAATTAAACATAGACCACAAAACAGTTTGGTCAATACTGTCTGCGGGGCTGTTCAGCAGCATTGATTTTTAGTTTATTGATCAGTTCATGAATGCTTCTGACCACAGGCTTTGTGTTAAATGTGATCATCGAAATCTGCGGACCCAGCACATTCCTCCGTGTTGAACAGCATAACACAACAGCACAGAGTAGGGAGCATCTGCCTTGTCACTCCATCCAGATGGCAGCAAAAAGTATGTAAATTGGCTCATTAACCTTACAGCGCTTTAACCAGTGGGCCATGCAGAGGGCTCGTACCATTCAGGTTTTCTTGAATTTTATTAACACCCATTATTAGCATCGAGGAAACTTTCTCTAATGGCCTGAGGTGGTTCACGGTGGTGTTATCAAACATTATAATAATTATACATGACATCCCTCTGATTAACACTCCCGTGATTATTGCAGCATATGAGATCATCTTTTTTCTTCTGTTTAAAGACAGTCATCCATTTTCTTGGCAAAAAAATGGTTCAGCAAAAAAAAAAAAAAGAAAAGAAAGAGGGTCCAATGTTATCACAACATTCCCCAAGCAGGCATAGATCTTTAACCTTGACAATAGAATGGCATGAAGAAAAAGAAGCCAGTTTGGGGTGTGGGGGGTGGCGTTCCATACACCGTTTACCCCAGTGCTCGCAGAATGTGTGAAAAATGAGCTTGTAGTGTGTGTGTGTGTGTGTGTGTGTGTGTGTGTGGCTGTGTGTGAACTGCCAACAGTGAGGGCTTGCACCTGGAGCAGGGAGGAGCATGCGAGGGGTCAAAGGTCAACTTGTGGGCTAAACCAGATTGGAATTCTCACTCTTCCTAAGAAGGCTAGACAACCCCTGCAACTCCATCGCACAACATGGGCCTTTCACACCCCTTCCTTCCCATTCCTTCTTTCCTTCCTCTCCCGTTCACCTCCTTTTCTTTTCTCCTTGGGAAAAGCGCAGTAATCCATAACCCACTCAACTATCAGCAGCTCAATTATCCCTCTCATTCACCCATTTTCTCCCCTTGGACAGAGATTCAAAAACAGTTAACCTCTTCATGGCTGGGGACTTTTCCCAGGAAAGGGCACAGTGGTAACTGAATGACTTTGCCATTTACATTCCTGACCATGTCTTCCCTTAATGCATAAATCTGGTTACTGAAAGTCCTAATCTGTGGCTTTGTGATTGTCCAGTATTATTATCATTGATGTTGTTCTATCACACTATGAAACCATTTTATTTCAAGCAGGGTTTAACGTGACAATTTGGTAATGTTTACATAACACCCACTTGACCTACTTAAACCTTAATACATTTATATATAAACATGTTGACAGATTTGAGACGTTAAAGGAAATTGCATCTTTATAGAACCTAACATAATTATTTTTGTGTCAAAAAGAGTTGATAGTGCTATTCCGCAAACTAGTACAACTGGATTATTTCACAATGAGTGTCTATAAGCTATGGCGCATCCCCCAACATCCCCAGGCTTCAATAAAATGTTCTCCTCTCTCCCTTCGTTATGGAGGGGCCTCCTATTCATCTCCAGGTAGAAAGCCTCAAAGTGTTGGAGGGGAAAAAAAAGCTTGTTGCACCCACTGAGCTTTTTATTACTTCCCCTTCAAAGGCTGGTAGCAAAAGAAGACACATCCTCAATCTTCTTGATGCTATGATACACATACTCAGCTTGCAGAAAACACACACAAACAAATGGCAGGATTTGGGCTGGATCTCTGTACAAATGCCTGCTCTTCAAAACATCATATCTGATAATATTACATGGTTGGGATACCATTCCAGCTGTTGGGGGATAATCCTCTAACAAAACATGTTTATCAAAAATAGACACTGTTCGGAATAACCACCCAAAATATGCACAAAATTAGTAGCCCCGTGCGGGAAACAGAAAAACATTGCATACAAATTATATGTTCTGATTTTCACTGCGCTGTAAAGAAAAAAAAAGTCCAACAAAGGCTCCACACCAACCAGCCATTTTCCATTAAGCAAGCTAGCTGATTATCTAGCTAACCCAGCAGCAGCCAAATGATGTAATCCCTACCCAGCACACATCGAGAAAACAAAGACGTGTACTCCTCACAAGGAAAACACTCTCGAAGATGCATTTGTCTGTCAAACAAATCCGCATATTGAATCATTTTCACCAACTCCCACCTCAAATTAGTGTTGTGTACTTCCTATTTTTCAACATCAGAAGCCACCTTGCTTTACTCTCCAGTTCAAAGACCACAACCATCAGAGTCAAGTGCGACTAAGGTCCTTATTTCAAACCTCCAGTACAGAAAAAAATGGAATCTTCAGGCAGGAATGATGTTTTCTGTGTTTTTTGAAGCTCAAAAGATTCAACTTTGAATCATTACTAATGGGACAATGTAGTTTTAATGGACCTAATCCTTTAGAATTCCAAGATCGAGCCTCAGTGTTAACATTATTACACCGGAATAACTAAAAACAAAGAGAACATCAAGCTTCAGTGTTTCGTGTGCGTAGTACAGAGAAATTCTGTGATATACAGTGATGTGGTACAATTAAAGTAGTGCCCTAAAAATGCCAAGTAGGACAGCACATAAACATCAGCTTTGAATAAATTAAAAAACAAACAAACAGGCACTTATATTCTTGCAGACACTTGCCAGAAAAACATAACTGAACTCTCATGCACACACTCAAAAGTCTTTGATGTTGATGAGTGTGCGTATTGTTGTTGTGTGAGTCACCCCACCTTCCGTCCATGATCCATATACAGCAGTAGCTACAGGAGAAACTGCGATAAAAATGAGCCCCCCTTACCCTGCTCCCATCACACACATGCACAAACTCACAAACAACATAGCATGCCTTTGTTGTGGATGGAAAGAGACAGAGGCACAGGCAGGGCCAGCCAGGCCAACAGGAGGACAAAAAAAAGCAGCAGAAGAAGGAGAAGATGAAGAAAACCTAAAGCAACTAGCAGCGCCCCAGACAGACTGGAACTTCTCTTGATCATTATGTCTAGTCTTCAGGTGTCTGGGGTTGGGTTGACTGTAGGCGGTAGTTAGGTTGAGGGTGGTGGGAGGACTGAGTGGGGTGAGTATAGATAACACAGCAGTCAGACAAAGAGGGAAGAAGAGGGCTGCCTACATACCCCCAGCATCAAGGAAGGGATGGTGGGAGGCAAGGGAGGGAGCAACAAGAAGAAAAAGGGGTGGTTTAAAAATTTGATTAGACTATTCTTTGCTGAAGTGAGTTTCAATTTTTTTTTAGGTTAGTCCCCCTCCCTTCTCACTCCTCCAGAGCACTGCCTCAGAGAATGAGGCAGACAGATTTTATAAGTCCTAATTAAAGCCATCTGAATCCTTTCAAAACATCAAATGGCCCCAGTTCCCCAGTCTTTCACTCTGATTATGCAGAAATCAGAGGGCACCCATTGTTGCTTTGACTCTAAAATGTACATAAAATTTGCACTGCCTCTCCCCCCTCCTCCTCTGACCCCACTACCACCTTAATGTCCAATCAATAAAAAAAGGTTCTGTGAATGACATGGCCTCAGAGTGTCTGTCAAATTCACTGGAAACAACAGCCATAAATGCTTGTTAGGTGGAGCAACTCGTTTCAAAAAAAAAAAAATCATTTGAGTTGAACCCTATTCCTCTTCACCAGACCTCAATCTGAATTTAAGGGATTGGTTCTGGTCATATAATGCGTTTGAACTGACACATAAGGCTATTGAAGATCCACCCTTGTTTGCCCTGCCTGAAGTAAAGTGCAGCCCTATGTTAGTGCGCCTCAAGTACAGATTCTGTTTTCCTCATTGAGCAGTGTGGACCGGTTGCACAGCCTGCCTGCCTGGGGTCAGCGAGTTTACCCTGTGCTTTTTATCTATATTTCATGCTATGGCGCTACGCGAAGACAGCCACACATCCACAATGAGAGCATTCACACAGACGCACAAAGAATGGCGACAGGACATGATGAAGTTAGAGCTCACAGAAAAATCAAGTGAAGTCATATCAATTAAAAGCGATGGAACCTTATAAAGTGTTTTAAATGTTTTATTCACCTTTAAATGGAAACAAAAAGGGACAGAAAACAAACGGTGCAAAAGTGACGCGGAATCGTAAATGTCAAACTGAAGTTGACTCCAAAAAGGCAATAAATATTACTTTCCATAACAGTAAAGAGAAATAACAGATTAAGGCTAAAAAATACCGCCTACTTACGATTCATTCCAATAACTTCTGGCCGTTATTGTCTCGCCCCTGCGCCTCTCCGGTCGTTTGGAGACGAAAAAAAAAGTCTGCTCCTCCAGCGAAGCGGGGTGGTTCTCGTCGACCGAATGGTCAGCCTCATCTGATGGCGATAAAATGTACACACGACGACGCCTGGTTCATTTTGCCGAGAACAGCAGACGTCCGATTCCGCCGCTGTCAGGTCTTCAATGACGCCTTCACTCACCGGGATTGAGTGCTGAGAGTAGTGGGAGCGCACAGAAAGGCGTCATGTGAGCCGGGGAGAGGTGCGTCATTGGCCAGTCGGGTATATTGTATGATAAGGCTGCTCTATGCACCATTGGCCCAGGACCGGAGCAGAGGCGCCTCCTCTCATGGCTGTGCGCAAGAATGTGAGTGCGGAACACTGTTCATAATTTTCAGCAGCCGGGGGTGGGGTGGGGGGGGCATTAACTAACAAATTGTTCTAAAGATCTTCTGTTACTGCCATCGACGCAAGAGTTGCACAGAGGGCAGCGTAGCGGGATGCACACATTCCCTCTCCATGGAGAGAGGAGCGACTGAAAATGTGTGGTGAGTCTACATAGTTTGTGAGTCGTTGTCAGCTTGAAGTGAGGCAAAATGTGTTTATGGATTATGAAAACATGAGCCATAGTAAAGATGACACAAAATAGAAAAAAGAAACGCGGAAACAGTGGGAGATGGCATAATATCTTCAGTCAGTCATCCTTCATTCCATAAATTTAGCCACTGTAAGTTTCCACTAACTTGTTTTTTCAGTTCATATAGCACTGATAACGTTTTTAATATTTTATTTTGAAATGTAGTTCTGTAAACTGAAAACACGTGCATACTTGTATATGATTTTGGTGTGATCCAACATAAAAAGCACAACAACATTTTATATTGTAGGTTACTTGATTACAAAAGTAGGATTTAATGATCTAATTTTTGTTAAAGTTTCATTTGTTTCATTATTGCCCTACATAATTTTCTGGATAATGAACCGATGCAGGATGATCAGGAACAGTATTAACAACATAACTAACAAAGCAGTCAGCAGGTAGACCTCAAATGCAAGTCAATTTCACAGGTAAATGACAAAACTTGTAACAAAAGAGGAGGAAAGGCAAACTTTATATTAAAACCCACTGAGGTTTTTTATCACAAGTTCTGAAGCTAATAGGAGACAATGAACTAATTAAAAGGGATACTACCTAAATGTGCTACACTTAAAGCAAGAACATCCCTTTTACATGTATATAAACAAAGAAGGCATATTGTGTTTTACATATCCATGCTGTTCTACCCTCTTTTGTGTTTTGACATTGATTTACTGCACAGTGGGACTACGTAGAAGGCAGCAACACCTAAAAGAACATCCTCTATCTGATTCTCTGGAGTGTGGAGGCAGAGGAACTCCAGGTTCTGTATGGGGGGGAAATAGAGCGCGTGTAATCTGGAGCGTGCATCTTCCCTTGCACAGACTGCGGCATTAAATCAATATTCCGCAAAGCTTTCTCTTGTTTTCACATTCAATGACTGCTACCGTGATGCGCCGCGAGGGTCGAACAAAAATCAGGGAGCAG